CGTACCTGCTCAGAATGCATTTTCTTTGATACCTCAAATACGCGGTATGGGAAAATATATTCGGGCGGAGAGGTCAAGCAGGACCGTGAGCGGTTGAAGTGGCTTGGCCAACATGCTTCGCCCGGAAACAGCTGGCGAGCTGATGCAGCAGTTCTTGCAAGCTGTCAGTTGGCTCTGTGCTTGGTTTCCTCGAATGGTAGAGGTTGTTGCGCCCGTGCGGACGTTTCTCGAGCCTCACATGGCAGGACATCCAAATCGTACAAATCGCGTGGCTTCCACGAGGGTTTTACATGCTCAAGCGTGCACATCGGTGTTAGTGACAGCACGGACATTTCTCGAGTCTCACATGGCAGCATCCAAATCGACCAAATCGCGTGGCTTCCGAGAAGACTTTTATTGCTCAAGCGTGCACATCGGCGCTGGTGACAGCATGGAATCTGGATGGTGGCAAATGATGTAGCATCATATCATCGGCGGGAGGGTTACGTTGTGCTTATGTCCCTCGATGCATCTAATGAGAATTAGGGCAGTTTTCTGACGCAGGCGCCGAAATCGGAGACTTGGCCATGCCGTAGAGGTCGAGGACATTAGCCATGAACCGCTAGGGTGTCTAAGCAGTACCTTTCGCGGGTCGCAGGGCGACTGTAGAAAAAGAAGGCTTTGCCATCGTGAGTATCTTTCGGCGTCTAGAACATATTTTCTGTGGGGCCCAAGTCTACGTCCACACCCGTATGTTTTCGATCGAGAAGCATGTGTTTCGTCGGTGCCGACAACTTCAGCACAGCGTTGAACCACTGGAAAGCTGTCTGTATGACTATGTCACCAATCACGTTGCTGGTGCGATACTGAGGCGATTTGTCGTCTCGATGGGCGAATGTTCCGTCCGCGAGCATGCGTGTGGCGGCCATGTTTATGCCCGGCAAAAGCCTGAAATCAGGTTTGCCTTCAAAGCAATCCGTCCTGGAGCTTCAACTGGCGTCACGTGTTGCTTCCAGTGCTTCGGCCGATTTGGAACACTCGTGCACGGATCCATACGAGTCGAGGCTAAAGATGAAGAAGGGCTGTTCCCTGTGGCGAGCGATGGTCGAAGTCTCTTGTGGCTTCCTGCCTATGCCCAAGCGCTACACGTGCACCACATGATACGTGCGCATGTGAAGAACGCCGGTCATCGAGGTTAGCGGCAACCATGAGCGGTTAAAAGTACTAACCCTAAGTTGTCTTCACATTAAACTCGTGTAAAGTTGCTAATCCCAAAATCTAGCAAAGATTCGGTCCGTGGTCATAAACCCAAAAATGCTAGAGCCACCAGAAGATGTATGCATAAAGAACATCCACACTTAGCAAGAAAAGGGTACACAAACCCGAAGAGGTACACCTACAATCCCTGCAGCACTTTTGCTTGCCCAAAACTGAACAATACGTCCGTACACTACATTCGACTACAGCAGCATCAACCCCCCCCCCCCCTGTCCCGCTCTTTACCAAAATGGACGTTTGCCAACTACAGCGTACTGTCTGGAGTGCAGTCTATACAACAACCCCATGGTAGGCATGAAACAAGAAGGTGAGGCACACAGTTGCTGCCTGAAGTGATGTCACAATGCGTCCGCGGACAGTGTGTGTGTTTTTATTATTAGCATCTACCGCGCTGACCGGCTGACCAATGAAAAGACTTCAGTCTCAGTGCGGTTGAAAACACAAAACACTTCTAAATGCCATTAACTGGGACCCCGTGAGGGGGCGGCATGGGAGAGATTAACCTATTCTCCGGATCAAAGACAGAAACGGTAGCAACAGAGGAATACGGCACACGTCTACGAAGGCTGCTACCTCACACTCGATTCCGTTTTGGAGTGCGTTCACCGTCATCCCCCTTCCTTCCAACTCTATTGTTCTCGTGGTCAATTTCACAGCAACTTCTCGATAGTTCGCCTCTGGCCCTGCGTCGTTTGTGGTGGGGAAGGTCGTCTGGCTCGAAGCTGTTGCCCTCTCCCACCCCATTATTCCCTCTTCGACTGCTGCTTTGGTCTCTGTCTTGTCTTCCTCCCGTTCCCTCTCCTCCTCCTTTATCGCTGCCAAACGAATCCCTCTCATTGCCATCCTGGTCGTTTCTATCTGCACTACCACCGAGATCCCAACCTATTGGCCGTGGTGGGAGATGATCAAGAAATAGCCCATGACGTTTGTGACATCACGAGTTCGTACGGATAGAAAACGAGCCAGCTCGAAGGTAAACCGTCTCCAAATTCGATCGGTATGAAAAGCCTTTTGCAAGGGTTATTTCGTCGTTGAAATTACCCTTGCAAAAGGCTTCATAAGCCAAGAGGTTGGCGATGGCGACGATAAGTCTATTTGTGCCTTTGCCAAGACCACCATACGTTGAAAAAGGAGCAGAAAGGAGGGTAGATGTAGACGGGTTGAAAGTTCCCGCATAGTGATTTGCCTTACTTGCAGCTCGACCTTTGAGGGCGGATCCTGGGTTTTTGATCGACTTGTCGATGCTTCGACCTGTGGATGGGTTGACCATTGTTACGTCTAAAAGAATGGACTTGGTGCAGAGTTCCTCTTCTTTATCTTCTTCTGCATGTAAACACTGCTGTGTGTGTATTTTCGTCCTATTTATTTTGTCGATAGTCCCCCCATTTTTCGTGGTGACAGTGAAAAAGAATATCCAACCAAAGCCACATCATTGCAATTTTCACCACCACAATCTATACCAATCGTCTGTGATAGGCTCAGCAGTGCAAACATCGTCACTGACTAGGAATCGTTCCACATTGAAGGGGTCTTCCACGATGCAGGTACACAATGAAAGCACCCGGGGTATCCGCGCCATCTCTGTCGCGTCTCTCTACAAAACTAGTGACGTCATCACACACACCCAATACAGCTATTCAGGGAAAAAACGATAACAATTGAAAACACATAGTGTTTGTCCGTGCGACACGCTTCAATGTCGTCCGTATACTTCGATGGCTGCTCCGGTGCCGCTGTTGCCATCAGTCATAGCACGACCACACTCGACCCGCTCCGTCCGTACACGCTCTCGTTGCTGTCCTTCCCAGTCGGTCCCTCGCTTTCTCCCTCGTTGGACTTCGGGTTTTTGGTCTGAAAAACTCTCGCGCCGAGGGGTCAACAAGCCCAATCTTCAGATCGTCACCACCTGCTCCCTCCTCCTTTGATGGCAAAGTCAGGAAACTGAGACAGTACAGCTATCTCTAGCAAACCTAGGGCCGTATCATAGTGCCCGCTCACCTTTCTGATGGCGTCTGCCGCCGCGCCCAAAAAAGAGATGTGCATTGCTGCCTACGCCGACGGCCATAAAGGCCCGTGCATCTATCTGCACTTTTGTACCTGGCCCACCAGTGCCGACCCAACTCCACCTTTACGCACGCCTCTCGGGGGGTGCGCAGCAGTAAAAACGTATCGATCCCTTGAGGGTAAGTCTAGCCTTGTTCGCTAGAACCCCCCCCCCCCCCTCGCTACCCCCCCGTCGGCCTTGTTTGCCATCGGGGTTTGGGTTTTCGTCGCTTGGCAACGACGTTGTAAAACAAGCCGACCCCCCCCGGTGTTTGCCATCGGGGTTTGGGTTTTCGTCGCTTGGCAACGACGTTGTAAAACAAGCCCCCCACTCGGTGTTCGCCATCGGGATTGGGTTTTCGTCGCTTGGCAACGACGTTGTAAAACAAGCCAACTCACTTCGTAAACTCGGCAACCAGGTTTACCGTTTTTTTTTTTTTACCTCGGTTTTTTTTTTGACGGTAACCATAATGGTGGTCGAGTAGATTATGTTGTGCGGGGTCGAGAACCCTTACTCCGCGCAACGGGGGATGATCGCACCACGTTGTGTTAAAATGGTCAAGCTTCCTCGAGGCAGTTACACAGTGCTTACAACTGTCTCTGGAAGTGAAAGCACCAGAAAATAAATTAAGTCATACGTAGCTGTCATCCGTACGCAAGGAAGTAAGCACAAGATGCCGAACACCCTTAGCAGGATGCAGCTCACCCTTCATGCGACTCGCCAAATACCTCACGGCGCTTCGCGCTTGGTGATGTGAGAGCCTGGTCCGGTGAGAACCCGGCGTGCTCCGTCCCGGCTTTGTAGGGATGCGAGGTCAATGGTCAAACGACTACGGCATGCACGACTATGAGTACCCCCCCCCCCCCCCCCCCTCGCTACGGGCCATGCATGAGCAGGAGCCTTCCCAAGGAAGCGAGGGGAAGAAGGGCGAAGCATTCTTACAGGTTGATAAAAAAAAGCGTTGTCTATTGATAATTTTCTGGATTATTCTTAATTGAAACTCCGCATGCCGCACGCGTATGTATGTCATGTGTGTGTATAATAGTATGCATGTGTTTGCCGCGATGCCAACGCCGGTCCCAACATGAGGCTCGGCGGTCTGCATGGTCTGCGTTGTTCTGGACCTGAACTCTGCTGACACCGCCACGACATGGCTCGACTCGTTTTGGGGTATTTGGGCGTTCAGTCAAGCCCTGAATTGGAGGGAATGGGCAGAAGAGAGAGACCATGAGGCTGAACGACTATTTCGTTCCTTGTCATACGCCCTGATTAAAGCGTGTGTCGATACGGAAGCACAGCTTCATGAGGGAGGCAGGCAGCTGTTCCATTACCCTTGCTCCTGTAGGATAGTTAACTCTCAGCTAAACACGTGTCATCTTCAACCACCGCTGCGCATTTGTCCACGCCTAACCGCCCAACATAACTTGTGCTGTAATTAGTCAAGTCCATGTGTCGCCAAGTGTTGTTCGCGTCAAACCTTTTTCGCGCCGAATGTTTTCGGCGAAGCTTTCATTCGCCTTCAATATGAAGACCACACTACAGCACGTGCATCCCTTTCTGCGGAGGCAAATGAATAGTGCCAACCAACAGGGCGTGGCAACAGGGAAACTCACGGCAACGATGACGCGATGTCTGAAATAAGGGTAGAAAGAGGTACCCATGGACATAATTAAACGTCCTTTGCAATAGATGAGATGGAGGATCTTGGCGAAAGGCTACCAATCAACTTTACTACGGAGTGTTGCAGGACAGGACCAATATCGCGTTCTACGGATCTCACTCGTGGGGGTATCACAAAGCATGGCGTCTCTTTCCCCCTTGTAGGCATAGGCATTGCGAGACTCGCGTGTTCTTTCGATAGTTGGACCATCTTTTCGACACTTCCTGAAGGAGGTTTCAACGACAAACAGAACGCAATATCGGCGAAATGCAATCTCGCGTTCGCCGAGTGCTGCTCGCCCAGTCCTCGAATTTCCATAGCGAAATGTCTACCCTTGCGATACACTTCTATGTGCATCGTTGTCGCCGAGCAATGGTCAAATACAAGCCGCATGCTCGTCACGTATGTTGCCCTCCACGTTCTCAACGCACGATGACCGCATCGTGGGGGAAAACACATACCACCAATCGGGCCCGAATACGAATGAACCCTCGCCACCACGTTGGAAGCGCCGATCTTGGAAACTATCCCTAAACACCAAGATCGGGACTCTGGGGCATCCTTACTACTTATCGGAATGACAACTTTTGAAGGTTGCTCGTCATGTTGCGCATGCTGTTTTCCATCTTTGACGCGATCTCTCTGTCATATTTCAAAACGACGCGAACGGAACAAAAAATCATGGGGTGAACACTACAGTCGGGCCGTGGTGGCTGCATGAATGACAGGCTGAACAGCAACAGCAAGGTACGACGCAATTATTGGCTAGTGTCGGATGTTGTCGCGTGATTTCCTGGCGACCAGGTTCGCTAGCTTCTGATCAACCGTGAATCGTTGCTATGTTGCTAACAGAGTTGCGAAGAACGCTGTGGACTCGGCATGGCTGGATGGAATGTCTCGGTAAACTATACCTGTAGATGTACTGCTATGGGGGAAAGTGTCGGGAGATTATCACACTTTCCTGCTTCCCCATCTCGGGGGCATCTGCTTTCTCTATGCCATACAATATACTAAGGTAAGAAGTGATTTCTGCGTGCCACGGGTTGGTAGCAAGACCTCGTGTGCATGGATGGGTGGTTCAGCAGAAACCTATGGCTCACGAGTCCATATACACTCCACATTTCTCGTCTGTGGGGCCTCTGCATCTTGTACCATGTCCTCTAGGCCATGCTTTGGTAGCATGGCCCCCTAACCCGCCATGATTTGATGGATCGGCAGCGAGCCTATGGCCTTCAATTCTACATGGCCAAGTCTTGCGTTTTTGGTCCAGAGAAACATACCTCGTGTTGCTCTCAAAGGCCGCGCCCAGTGGGCCTGATTCCGGTACTGCAACAAGAGGGGCGCCGGCAGGTTCACTCCGCATCGTCGTGTTATTCGCCTGTGCATCGTCCATTCCCAGCGTGTCCAGAATCATCTGTTGATCTGCCTTGCGCATGCCTTTGAGAGTCATGATAGCCTGTGCGAAAGACGATAATCCAAGCCACCGTCCACAGACAGCAGTGTGAGGTGAAACGATGAACACAGAGGTGAGTCTGGGAGGACGAAGACAACGCAGTCTATCTGCGAGGCAAAATTCTATTCCGCGCCAAGCTCAAGTGGATGTCGTTCCCGGATCAAACCCACCATGCGGTCGACTCTGTTTCTCTACACACTAATTTAATTGTGTGACAAGGTCCGGAAGTTGTGCATTGAACACACATAAGGGTATGCGTCGGTCTCACCTGCAAGTCTGGGGCACCTCCATCTGGCCACATGATCTGGAACCTCTCCACCAGCATGGCTTGCGGCGTCCCCACCAGTTTCAGCACTTACGAACGACGAGGGTGGGGTGATGGTGTGGTGGTGACGCAAGAGCTACAGTATCCGAGAAACGCGTTGGATGAAAATACTACAACGATCAACTTTGCAGGATGTCCGTAGATTGCTCACCCATCTCAATCTTGGACATGTGCTTCGTGACGTACTTCGTGTAGCTGACAGGGACAGGAGTACTCTGCAACTGGTCTAACCCTGAAAACGCACAAGTTGACCACGGCATCAAGCAGTAGCGAGAAGAGGTGCGCAAACGTGAACAAAAACAAAACGATGATGGGCATATGCTTGGGAGCGCCTGAGACGTGATGACGGGCAGACAAACCCACATTCCCGGTTGCTTGCGGGCGCTGGCTGAACATGCTAAAAACAACGGCTTCCCCACAGTGAGAACAAGCGTTTGGAACTTCTTAGTACAAAATCGCACAGTGAGGCTGGAGCTTGAGGGAGGAAGCATAACACTCGTTAACGCGGGATGCGATACTTTTTAGGCACTGCTTTTGCACGGCGGGGTAGGCAGGAGAAGCGATCAAACCAACTCACCCAGCGATGGTACCTTCAGCATCAAGGTCTTAAGGTTGTAGACATCCAGCAAAAGCTGCTGAGTGCCCATCTCGTTTACCCGGCGTTGCCGCAGAATAAGGCTTAAAAATGACGGCAGGAAAGATGTGACCATCTTGTCGCAGAAGTTTCTGGCGTTCGCACGATGAGTAGTCCAAAACGAGTTGCCGCCGCGGTTGGTATCTTGACGCAATATCTTACTTGCACAAGATGTTAACGTTGTATCACATGCACTAGAAACTGGATCGATTTGGCATCTACTGGCTAACAAGAGGGACAAAAATCGACTTCCTTTGCAATGCCCTTGTTTAGGCAACGGTGCAGAATACGGGCAGGGGAGAGGGAAAGCTCAAGTTGTCTTCGTGAGCTAATGTGAGCGGGTGTGCACGTAGAACACCACCGTCTTCACCTGAAGTACATAGTGGACAGGAGGCTGCGGATACTCGGCACGAAGCTTTGGAACGCGTCATGAATGCTCCGCACGTAGTGGCTCTCTTCTCCGACCATCTCGCAGGTGCCCCAGTTTATTCCTGACATTGCCCGAAACGCCGGCTCCACGCGTGTTTCAAGTCCAGAGACAAGAACGCGCACAGCTTGCGTGATAACGTTGTAGTAAGGCTCTTGCTCTTCGGCGAGGTCCACTTTCTCTTTGAAAGAAGCATCCATCTTGCTCCTGTATCATGGACATTGGGTGACGTAATCCGTAAAGACAACAGTTCGGAGTACAATCGCGAGCCGCACGCGAGACATCGGTAGCATTCGTGCTGCCAGCGTAACATCCTGGGCAGACCATTGCAAGGGTAACCGACACACAACTCACTTGACCATATCTTCTAGCTGTGGAAGTATGTCTGCACAGTACTCGGCAGTGTTGATCACGTAGCAAACTGTGACCTCCCCACCGTCCACTAGATGCTGCTGCTGCACAGCTGTTCCCTGGGCCGTTGGAAGCTTCGCCAGGAGAAGGTTGGCGTACGCCCTGCGATCAAAGTCAGCAAGGATCGCATCGATTTGGATTGACAAGCCGGATAGGATAGATCACGGCAATATGGCAGTTTAGGTCAGTCAGCCTACAATTTCTTAATTTCAGTTGGAACCCCGAAGCTATGGATGCTATTCCCGGGCCGATTACCAACCAATGCGTTTGCTAGGAGTTCCCCCGCTGGTTCTCTCACCTCAGACACGATTTGTACTCCTGATGCAAATCGAAGAACGTCTGGCCAGTCGTAAACTTGGTGCACCGCTGTATGGAGTTTTTGATGTACACGAATATATTCACACTCGTGCTGAAGACCGGGAGCTTGCGGTCTCGATCGATATCATCGTTTGATGGGCCCGTTGTCCGTGCAGCTGCTTTAATGAGATCGTCCAAATTCCGCCTCTCAAACGCGATGTAAGGGCCCATGAAGGGCTCGAACACGCCTGACAGCATTCCAACGATAGGCGGTAGGGAACCCTCCACCTCGTCTCTAACGCCTTCGCCGTCGGCGCTGAGGGGTGCGTATAGACTTTTTGGTACCCCTCGGCCAACAGTCGTGGAATCTCGATCGTTGCCCCGAGACGCATTCGCATACTTTTGCTTAATGCCTTCCGCACTGTTGGGGTCGATCAGATTCCCTTCAGCATCAAGCTCGACTTCCTTTGCCTGTCGGCTTTCGTCCTCCTTTCCCTCAAACCTGGAGTGGGCCTCATTCTCGAACGCCAAGCACTTGTGGACAGCCTTTACGAAGCACAACACCGAGAGGCACGCGGAGCCAAAAACAAGAATGACACCAGATACCCTCCGCGACGTAAGCAACACGCATCATTTAGCAGGTTCGTTCATTCAGCATCAAAACACGAATTGGCAGAAGATTAACAAGAATTGCGTTTCGGCTGAGGGGAGAGAAGGGCATGCACACCTTTCTAAAAAACAACTTGAAACGTTTCCCGGTCCTGATCCAAACTGCGAACGTTTCTTTTCGACTGCTCCATAGTTTTTCTCTCAAACACGAACGCACGAGGCGCTCGCGAATACTCGCATGTAGGCTTCGACTGCACCGAGCAGTGCAGTGGCTGGAGTGGTGATCAGCAACGCAATAGCGCTCGAGTCGTATGTTCATTTCTCGTTTGCATGTATGCGTACAGCAATCGCAACAGAACTGGTGAAATGACGCAAAAAGATATTAGCGGCCCCAATTTAACTGCGATAAACTACAGAGGGTCAAACGTGTGCACAACGCTATTGCCCTCTCTCGATCACACAAGCGCCTGCATCTTGAATGTAGTCAAGCTAGTAACACGATGTATGGTTTTAGTGTTTTACCTCATGCTAAAACACAGCCCGTTGCAAGAAAACTACTTCCGCGAATATCTGCCGCTAGTGTCTGCCGACGTGGGCAAGCGAAATTCAACGGCCATGAGGCTGGTGGTGGCTGCTGCTGCTACTGTTTATACTAGTGGCCGCACAAGCCGACACACTCAAGTGCCATGAGAACAGTATGTTCGCCCAGAACAAGAAATGATAAACAGTTAACTCAAGACAATTGCATCGTGTTCAACACCGAAAGCAAGCAAGAGGTACATGCGGACCTACCAATCGTCGTCGTACAATGATGGGGGCGTGTGAGGACATCACTCATAAACAAGAGGGTGTTGCTTCTGCCAATAACCCCTCCGTCATTCTTTTTGGGAGACCGGCAGGGCGGGACCGTGGGGATATTGGTTGCAAAGGCATGGAAATGGGCCCCGTCTATACTGGTGTTGCCCGGGGGTGACATAAAATTATCTTTGATATTCGAATGGTTTGAACGCTGCCTGGTGCGAGTCGTGTCGGAGCTACAAACTTACCTTCAGAAGCACTGTAACATCCTCTGCCTCTTTCGAGCCTCCGTCCAAAATTTCCGCCAACGCCGTGCGGGTCTGACCTAGAAACCTCATGCACAGCCGATGCTGAAGGCGCCAGTGTCTAGGAAACACGCCATCAAATCGCAAGTCCACCCCGCGGAGAAGGCGCCGAAACCAAGCAAAACGGCGGTCGATTTGATCTAGCTGCGCTTGCGTCGACCCTTGGGGAAACAGCGGGTCGTACGGCTGCATCTGCTGATTGCAGAACGACTCGATCTGCGAATAGCAAGTGGAACGCCGCGCGCACACAACAACAAAGCCAGAATGGAATACAATCGGAAGTTAGATTAAACAGAGAGCCGATGGCGGGTGCTCCACTGGTGACACGCTTGCACGAAGACCCTCGCAAACAACTGTGAGGGGGTGCTACCTGCTGTTGTCGCGCTTGCCCCCCGAGGGCATCGACCACTAAGCACGCCTCTTGGAGAGAACGGAATTGTCCAGGCTTGTCAGCATCTCTTTCGAAGCCCTCTGGGTCTGCAGTTGAGCTCGCAAGTTGCCCCACTTGATTGAATGCTTGTGACGTTTGTTCCACCAGCTCGTTCTTGATGCCTGTCACTGTCTCTCGAAGCTCTGCAATTCGAGGGACCTGCAAAGGAATAGGCAAGGATAACACAGTAACATGTATTGCATAGAGGGTTCGGCGGCCTGCGATGCTACGCAAAACGGAGCGAGTCAAACGACGCAGGAGAATGGATAATGGCGACGGCCCTGTGTGTGTGGAGGCCAGAGCTGTGTTGTTTATGCGCGCGGGAGATCAAAATGGAATGGTTCAACACGCGTGTCAGTATGCTATGCGTGCTCTTAACCATGTGTTTGCAGATGGCAAGTACGTGACTTTACTTTGCCGCAAAGTGTTTTTCCCGTACCTTATGCAGCAGGATTCTCCAGGGATAGAAACACAAACACAGAAAACACACAAGACTCCAGACGAAAAGCCATTTGTTTGCTGAGGGAAGAAGAAGGTTGAAGTCTTTGTTACAGAAGGACCGCACAGCAGTGGACGAGTAGACAATATACTGTAATGTGTCTGATGGGGGCTGCAGAGACAAGCGAGACACGAGATATTTGAAGGGCAAATGGAAGTACGGCGAGCGCTCGCCCGCTCGAAACAGGACAAACGGCCGGCGAAATGCATTGTTTTCGTCTGAGATTAAGGAACTGACAAAAATATTCGTAGCTCCCTCTCCTCTCCAGACGGAGGAAAATATTCTAGATGGTCGTGACTATCGCGAGCTCAGCTGTTTGCAGCCATAGGTTCACCGCGATACCTGTATTTGATGCTGAGGGTACGTGTCGTTCTTACAAGCTGTTGACACATTCCGTGTACATCTAGTTTCGGCAGAGACCTTCTCATACGGGCAAAAAATGAGTACAACCAAGCGAAGGATCAGCTCGAGCACAGCCGCCAAACAGGTTGAGCATTGGTGCGTGTGTGTGTGGCACGTGAGAATGTTGAAAGCGGCTTCTCATGGCGGATTTTTGTCTCGATCTTGCATTTGAGTTGAATTGTTAGAATATGCGATGAATGTCTTCACATGCAAACGCACAGCGCAAGGCACGTCAGTGCGAGCACAAAAGCGAGGGCAGCACTAGACAGCACCACACGGACAGAGAAAGAAGAGTGCTCCCTTGTTAGCGCCCCGCTTGCTGCCGTTAACTGGCGCTACGGTGGTAAAAGCAAACAAAGCGGCCATAGGAACGCCTGACAGCGGAGCGGCAAATGAAAGCTACACAAGCATTGCAAAGAAAAATCTCGCGGAGTCTCGACGAAGCTAAGGAGCGAGCGCGGATTGTGTGCCGGGAGCTGGGAGCCAGCGAGAGAGAGAGAGAGCACTCAGTTCTGATGGCGCGCGGCAATACCTTCCTTTATTGAAGAGCTGCGGCGGATCAACAAGAGACCACCGGACTAAAAATTAAGCGCGATGGTACTGAGAGCAACCGAGAGAACGAAATGCGGCGTACGAGGAGCCCGAGAGAACAGCAGGCAACAGGCTTGTACACATACAGCCGACGGTCCTCAATAGCGGTGCCCTCAATAGCGAGATGCCCTCTATAACGGCAACAAAATCGCTTGGCACGAATGCATCCCTCAATAGCGGTACTTGTGCCCTTAATAGCGGCATTGTGCCGCCATAAAGGACTATATAATGCAAGACAAAAAGGCAAGGGGATCATAAGGATTCGGGGGTGGCGAGGCTCACGGCTGCACTCAATGCGCTCAGTATGGGCGTGAAGGAGGTAGCGGTGGGGGGAGGTGGTGAACAAGACTCAGAGATGTTCGAGGTACTCTCGTACCTCGGCATCGTCCCGGGTAAGCCCGCCACCCCGGGAGCCATCGAGGAGGTCGAGTCTTGGGTGCAGCTTGAGGCGCAGGATAAGGTGGTCAAGGCTCTCGCCGCGGACGCGGACGCGGCGCTCAATGAGAAGATAAATGACAACTTTGCAGAGGACTCCGATTCCGACGAGGAGGAGCTGAACTACACGGGGGTGGTTGAGGGTGCAGGGGGTAGGAAGTTGATGGCGCCGCCGCCGTACTCGGATCTGTCGGAATTTTTCTGTCCACTAGTATGCACAGTCGGCTGGAAATGACGAGGCTGAGCATCTTCTTCGCAAGGCCAAGATGTTGTTCCTCGCAGCCCACGCCGCTAAACCAGTCCATCCAGCAGTCAGACATGAGAATGTTTTTGCTCCAGTTTAACATTTCTAGTGTACGCTGTGTGGCGCTGTTTGCACCTCTGTTCATTTTAACGTTTTGCTATATTTCTGTTTTCTGTACGATTCGTTGCTCTGCTACGATATGACTAGTGGGGGCATAGTGTTGTAGAGTACAGATAGCAGTACAGCAGTACAGTACAGCAGTAGTACACGATGGTGGTGATTTCTGATTGAGCCAACTCAATAATTTACCGTACACCAACACAAGAGTACTGATCTGGTGTCAGTACTAACTCGAAGTAACTATGAACATGCTGCTCAACGAGTGTATTATTAGACGCAATGGCGTAGTGTGTGTGAAAAAATACGGCTTCGTTGCCGCTCTTATCCTCAAAAGCGGTATTGATACCGCTATATTGAGGAATAGCGGCAGTGCCCTCAATAGCGGTATCAAGGCCTCTTGCCACTACCTACCGCTATTGAGGACCGTCGACTGCATGTATACATACGGTAGAAAACGACCATGCGGGGCTTTCCGAGAACATCTCATGCGCTTATCTGCGCAAAATTTTCTGTTCCGACCAATTCCGTCAAATGACAAATGACCGAACTCCGCGTACCTGAGAGTAGCTCTCGAAGTGCGTCAACAGCTGCCTCACTGCATCGAGCAGGTTCGCTGATTCGCGATAGTGCTTCGCTTTGGCAACTCCTTGCAGTTGATCTACCGCTGTCACAAGCATGTGGAGACGCTTGAGAGCCGTTATGGTAGTTTGGAGATGACGCTTGGCAAAATCAAGCTGCTTGATGTCTCTGCAGATTTCCTGCACCATAACCTCTGACTGCTCAGCCTTCGCTTTCATGTCCCGAATTTTTTCGAATAGCTCTCGAATTGCTGCCTTTGCTTCGTCAACGTCCCTTGTTGCTTGATGCCCGGCCTCGCTTTGCCCCTGCACAGTCTTGGATATTTCGTCGCCCAGGTCACCGATTTGCACCGCAATGTTCGACATGAACGGTTCCAGCCTGTCAAGGGATCGTTCGGTAGGAAAGTGGTGGTTGAGGTAGTCTACTGGGTCAAAATCTGGTGAGTTTAAAGGGTCATCGTCCACCATGGTCACAGCGGTCATCATCTCGTCGTCGTGCCCGCGGGAAACTCGTTGTACTGCTGTTTGCAAGAGTGCCAAGCGCGAAGCAAAGAGGATGTGCAACCTTCATTCTGCGGAGCTCTAAAAAAGAGCCCAAAGAAGAGAGTTCTATATCGTCAGGAAGGGATCAGCAGAGTCCGGGGCCGGTTATCATGTGGATTTTTTGCGGGGAGGAGGCAAGCGAAAGGCAGGTGGGGGGAAGCTACGCATACCACGGAGTACGCCACAAACTACCCTTGCCCTCTTCTCTCGTAACAAGTTCAAATGGAACCTGATTATGAAGACCTGCTGCCGCGCAACTGGGAAAAACTGGTGCAAACGTGGCTCGACGAAGATATTCCGGGCTTTGACGTTGGCGGCTACGTTGTTGGCAGTAAGGAGGAGACAGCCATCCTTTATGGGAAGACTGATGGCGTGCTAGCGGGAAGGCCGTTCTTTGATCGCGTGTTCACACTTCTTGGCTGCAAGGTGCGATGAGAGCTGTTTACAGGTCGCTGAATGTTGTGATGACGAAGGTCAGCATGGGCATATGTTACACATACGCATTGAAGACAGACCTTTAGAAGCAGTAGCAACAGCAGCCTCGCCCCCCCCCCCCCACCCCCCCAAATCTCTATCTTCTCCCCCTCTCCACCTACCTGGGTATTTTCCAAAATCAAGGAATGCCGTCTTCCTAAAACTTGCCTGCAATAAGGCATCCTGCTCTCGACGTGCTTCAAACGTGACTATTGGAAAAACGTGACTGGCTC